CCAGCTATTTATGAGGACCTGTAATTGATTTCTAACTTTTGAAACCTATGAAATCCTATGGTGTGTCCTTTTAAAACGAAACCATTTAAACCGTACTTTCACCGAGTACAAAGAATCGACTTTGTTGTTTTTTTGTGTGTGTTTATGTGTGTGTGTGTGTGTCTCTACAATGAGACTTGTATAGGTAATAGCATGATTTGTAGTGATGTTTGGCATAAATACAACGGGTGATATTTGGAAATTGTTACACGTAATTTCACGAGCCGTTAGGCGAGTGAAATTTGAGACAATTTTGAAATATCATGAGTGGTGTTTATGCCAAATATCACGTACAAATCCTGTTATTATTTGTTTATACTACTACCCGCAAAATGTTTGTAATTTTCACATGTAGGTATTTCAAGTTAAGCTGAAATGCCACTGCTCTAAGCCAATCAAATTGCAGAAATTTCTCATGTAGTAGTATAAACCGCTCAAACGCGCGGGGTACTTGAAATGCAAAATTTTACCCCAGCTTACATGAAGGAGTGGACGCATGTACGTACGGACGATTTTGTCAGAACCAAAATTTTTTGGACGTATAGACAACCAGAATTTCTTACCCATGATGCTGCACTGCGCGCGCTTCGCGCCCGCGAGAGCCCCGCGTAAACGGAATCCAAACCAAGATTCAGTAAATTTACACACAAAGACGAGTCGAAAGTATTACTAACCTCCATCCCCTCCAGAAATATACCTCTTCCATCGGACACAATAAGCAAAAGCTGGGAGGTGTCTCTTCTCATCCGGGGGGACACTTGTAACCGTGAATGAGCCGAAACCATAAGACTGGTACAAGTATCTAGGAGCTAAACAGTGAGAGAGCCATTGTTATTTTGAGGGAAAATTTAACTATAGCGGAAATTCTTCGACCAGTCCCATACGGTAGCAGTAGGAAACGAAAGCAATCAGAAAAATTACTTACTTGGGCTATTTTGGTTTTCTTTTGATCAAAAGTGAACTGCTGCAAAATTTTCGCCCCTGACTGGTCAGTAAATGGCTCGTGGAATGGGTGCAAGAGGCGGACAGTTTCTCCAAAGCTGCAAAGGCAAAAAAAAACAAAAAAAACAAGAACAAACTCAGCACGGCACTAAATTAACGGTTACGTCAGAACAAGCGAGGGGAGAACTATTTTTCGATGACGAAGATGGACAATTGCCCATTGTGGCGTTTGGTTCATGCCAGCCATGTTATCTACACTTACGTTCTCCCTACTTTTCCCCCTTAATATTTTATAACGATAATAAGGAGACTTTGTTGCGCTGATCTCCAGAGGGCTTGATCCCACCCAACTGAGGTCATAGATATTGCCATTCTTCTATAAACGACTTGATCACCGCGCAGATCGGAGAACAACGTAGAAACGGCGTCCCTGTCATAAGTAGGGAACGTAAAACAGCATGTCCTGTAATACAAATTTCTGGTAACCAAAATTACTTATTTTCATGTATTTGTTTTCGTCAATTTTAGATACGTTTCGTTCGTTTTTGAATAGTGAAGCGAAATAAAATTAAGCTTTACGCATTCCTTTTGCTGAAGCAAACAGCCAAAACTGCACTCCCCCAATGCAACAAATATAACAAAGTTAATTTTGCACTCACCTGCACACACCGAGATCTCCAGCCTCCAGTCTTGTTAGTGCATTACTGATCACTGCTAAAGACTCAAACGCCAGCTAAAATCACGGAATGAAATATAAAACATATGAAAAACAACTGAACAACACAAATAGAGAAATTCAAACAACATATTTCAAGACTGACTATAAATAGTTTTCGACATCTTTAACATTTTGTAATAGACGAGTGGTGAGTATTCACCTCAAAATATGTCCTAGAACAGTTCTCTTGTTAGGGTGATTTTCTTTCTTTCGTGAAGTAGTTGCTTGAAGTGTCGCGTCATAATCATTACAACTCTGAAACTGTTAGTAGAATTTCCCTGTAAAGTTGTCAAGTTGCGTTCTCTCTTAAGCATACCAACGTACCTAGATGAAACGTGATAAATTACGCGTTACCTGTTTGGAGTGATTATCATTCATGCTAGAGGAGTCGTCCACAGCTAGCATGATCTGGTACTGCCTCTTACTCGGCTTAGTCCTCCTCAGCCAGATCTTGTCCTTGCGGAACTGACTGGCAATGTATGGAATCACTTTCCTCATGTTCAACCTCTTCCCTGATCGATAATCACCTCTGGAATGAGCAGGTTCAAAATTCTGTTGTAAACTAACAATGTACTATATAGAAACGTGATAAAGAATACCTTCCCAAGTACTAAGAAGATACCACTAAACAACGTCACCTCGGGACTGCTCGCTGCTTTTCAGCCCCCACCATTACTACCAGTAAACACGCACCCCGAAAAGAATGCGAAGCACCCCATCCCCAAAAAATGAACTTTCACAAAGGGTAGATGCAGTCTCATTACACGCCGGGTACATTATGGTTCTCTAACTTGTAGATATACATTTTTCCTAAAAAATTAGTCAAAAGCTGAGTGAAAAAACTGTAGTGGTCTAAGGTTTAGAATATTGCGAATTTCCACGCAGCTTTTACCGACTTTTTGTGGTGTTCCCTTGCCGAAAGGATCAGTTTGCTGTTTAATTCGATTTAATGTTTATACTATGTAAGTTAAACATCTGCCAAAGGTCCGGCAATGACTCTGGCTTTTAGATCGTAGTTCACGTTTTAGCCACTTCATTAAGCGTCTTCTCCACATTATTAAAGAATACGAAAAAAATGTGATAAGCGGAATTAGGCTGTTCAAACGACAAACGGTTATAAATATATTCAAATATATAACTAACTTACTTAAGTTTTGTAGCCAATGATGGTTCTAGTACCAGTCTCAGCTGCTCACAGAGCTCCTGAGAGAGACTGAAGGTGAGCAGTTCGTATTTTCGCCAGGTCTCTTGAGCGATGCGTTGCTCCTCCGTCGTACCTCGTTCAAGGCTGGTCCACTCAGCCAACTGATGTTCGAGATCCAATCTCAGCTTTTCAGGGTCCAATGACGATATACCCTTCAAAAGAGAGAAAATGACTGAGCAGTATTCCGAGCAACACATTCAACAGTTGACGCCGGTATTTGGTCTATTTTCCGCGTAGAAATACTTCATATGAAAGCTGCTAGGCATCAAACGAAAAAAATAAATAAAAACAAACAAAAAAAGCATTTACTTTAACACAATACGAGATTAAAGTTACTTGGTCTGACGCCGTTTATTTTGCTCTAGTACTGATATCTGTGTTGCATGTAACGGACTTAAAAATTGAGTCCGTTAACGAAATTTTAAAAGGAAAAAGGGAAAGCGTGATTGAATTGTATAAGCTGGTCCCCAATTTTTATTAACTAGATGAAATCCTTCAGTGTTTCTGCATTTGGCAGTGCCTTTCAAAAACTTTTTTAGCTCCTATGTTTTGTTTTCCCAACTAAGACCACTTGACGTTTCCAGTAAAATTTGCCTTTTGTCTTTTCGTAAGTTATCCATACATTTGAAAGAAACAGTAGGCTGGGAGGAATTCTACATAGGCTGAAATTTGAGAAAAAAAAGAAACAAAACCAACTGAAAGGGTCTATTTCGTTTGCATATTTGGTTATGTAAGTTGGTTCTAATGAGTCATTAACGAAATTTCTTTTTAAGGTGCAGTTAAGACAAATATAAAGTTAATTATGGTGATACGATTAAGCAATAACCGAGAGTAAAATGAAATCTCTTCGTAAGTACTACTGCAAGGTACTATTTGTCTTTTAAGAAAATTAAGCGAGCGATCTTTTTCTTTGAATTTTAAAAGGACAGCTTTTCACTTTTTATCTAGTTTAAGTTCAGTTAGATTATCTTACCAGTCTCTCAAAAGCCAGCGCCACTTCTGAGGAATGAAAAGTACTCTGCAAGAGTTCAGTGGATATTTCTCCACCTTCAATAGTTTGCATGTCTTCTTCTTTGGTCACCGTATCTGCTACTTCCTGTTCATCTTCGTCCCCCACCGCATCCATCTTTGGTTTATTTGGAGGCGGTAACATGGTCTGCTGGGGATTGTCTGGTGCCTTCAGTATTTGGAAAGAATTGGCAATCAGAACTAGGTTGTAATCTCTGTAACGCGTAGCGATTATAAACAATGTGTTAAACTTTATAACAGACGTTATTGAAGGCCACCAATGTCTGAATAAACATAATAAGAGGTGTTATCTACCGCGTTTTAGATAAACAGCTAAGTTTATCGTTTGTTCCATTTCAGTCACTTTGATATTGGCCGCGATATTTCTGGTCTATATGGTCTTGTGCGGGGTAATTAGACGTAAAGTGACTGATAGTGCATGAAAAATGGGGATCGAAGTCCACCAGCCATTAGCAACTACATTCAAGATCGAAATACACCAATCACTTACAACCAAGGTGGTACTAATGAACGCCAAGAGTTAATCGATAACATCACCATATGAAGACCATGAGTGAGCGATCAAAACACAACAATTAATAAGAAGTAGCAAAAACAAGTACCTGACGTGACACAAACGATAAGCTGTTCAGACAAAAAAAAAATACACAAACACAAACCGAGGATGGAAAAAAAAAAACACTTACAGGGAGTTCCTCTTTATCATCGAACAGCGCTGTTTTCATTTCAGTATCATCATCTTCGGTATCACTATACGTATCAGGGAAGTTTGCTTTCTCTTGTTCTTTCGCTTGATCAGCGGTTGCACTGTCAAGCGTCTGCGCATCGTGGATAGATGAATCATCACTCTGCATGTGCTGAAACAGATCTTGGCTTCTTGTCTCGTTCGTCTGCGAACAAAAAATATACACAAATTGCGGCCGAGTACAACTGAATGATCGAGGAAAGAGGGAGTGAAAATTCAAAAATGGAATACAAAAAACGCGAAATGAAGTTAAGTAAGCAGCGTTATCTAATCTTTTCTTTACAGTGAAATTCGCAGACGCACCTTCTGAAGAAAGTCGTTATGCTCGACAGTCGCTCGACAATAATACACGTGCATATAACTTTTGCAAAATTTTCTTTCTTGGTTCTCACCAAGTTTCTAAATAATAGTCGTTCTGGTACACGACATTATAAAATCTTACGTAGATTAGAGCCCAATTGCCTCTTAAATTCCCCGGGAGGGGGTACTCCTGAGAATTCCTGGTAGGGGTGTGCAGCCCGCTTCTCCAAATCCTGACCCTATTTCAGACCAAAAGGTGTCATTTTCCACTGCCTTTTTCAGACCAGACCTCTAAAATCCATACCCGTTTTCAGACCTGGCAGAAATTACCATACCCGAATTCAGACCAAAACGGCGCAAAAAAACACACCCTTTGGGGCGGCACATACCAGTAAGGCAAATATAAGGGAGTAATTCCTCGGGCTAAATTCAAAATGTAAGAATATACCACTAATAACATATGATAACAAAACGGAAAGTACATTGAGAGATGATCACCAACATCGTTTTCAAGTTATATTCATAAAGTAAATCGCTGTAAATTCTTTGAAACTTGTTTTTACACTTAACGACAATTGACCACTCCAGAAAACGCCATAACATCCCATAATGCTCTTTGATTGTCACCCCAAAATTTTTAACGTAAGCATTGTTTCCAGTTTCTCTTAGGGCCATTTTAACTCCCAAGCGAAACTGAAGACAATGCTTCTGCAAAATTTTGGAGTGTCCAAGAAAGAGTATTATGGTATGTTACGGTATACTCTGGAGTGGTCAATACCGGATAATTATACGTTTCTGGGAAACTGCCCACCTACCCCTCCCCTAAGCCAACATAAATAGATACTTCTCACTTAGGGCAAAATGTTGACTTAGGGGAGGGGTAGGTGGGCAGTTTCCCAGGCACGTACAATGATCCGTTTTTTCTCAGAATCAATATGCCACCTCAGTTCCAGTCTCTTGCTGTGTTGTATCGACAGTCTTGAGTCTCTTGTGAGTAGTTTCATCCATGGAGCCCAGTCTTCTGTCGGACCGAGCACGGTTCATTTGCTTTCTCTGACGTGACTGTGACAATTCAAAATAAAATGACTGGTGTCTGCACTAGCTTGTACTGCGCTTGACTCCCCATGATGCCCTTCATCATTAGCTGCTTCAGCTCGTCCCACTCCTCGATCTTCATTACCGTCTGTCGATTCAGACTGGCCAGCGGTGATATCTGTTTGTTCCCCACTACCATCACCTTCCCCAGAATCCTCCACGGCCTGAACATTATCCTGAGGCTGGCTCTGGAATAAAACAGAAGTGTCACGTGTTTACGACGCGTGTTCAAATATTGTTATCATCTCCCTTCTAATCTAACCGGATCCAATTCATAAGGTTGTGGCGGTATACCAACACCAATAACGGAAAGGAAACTTTAATAGCTTTAATATGACAATAACTTTATATGACAATAACTTAATATGACAATAACTTTAATATGACAATTTATTCCTTCTTTGCCGAGAAAAATTGAGGAAGAAATTTTCAAAGAAAGCCAAGGAGAATAAAAGGTATGGTCTAAGAACTGATGTGGCAGAAAAGTATAATGAACGTTAGGCTATCATCAGGCAAGGCAGGTTTAAAAACCACAAACCGAGGGTCGTTCGAGGAATTGTTATTCGTAAATCTGACCTTAGTATCCGCCTTCGTTCTCCAGTCATCTTCATCATCTTCAACATTAGCTTCTTCATCCTAAGAAAAATATCACTCATCGTAAGAATTAGAAGTACCAAAGACACGTCTGTCTTTTCCCTTCCCTTTCACCTTTCATCATGATTAGCACTATCTTCAAGATACTTCAAATAGCTCACAACATCTCAAAAGGCCAGCTACTCTTCTAGATCCTTACAATATCCAATTGCTTTGATACAAGCGAGTGGAAAAACTAACCAGGCCTTCAACACCGCAAAGTTTGAGTGTAGTCTTAATGCCAACCAGTAAGATGTTCCCAACGTTATGAGCTTCAGCGTTCGAATACTCGTCCTTACTGATGTTTCTTTGAGAACGTTTAACGGCAGTCTACCAACCTTAGAATTCTCTCCATCTTCTTGTTTATCTTTTCCGTCAATGTTCTCTTCATCCTCCATCTTTGTCTCATCCTGTTCTCCTTTTTCATTCATTTCCTCGTCACCTTGTTCAATGGATTCATCCTCAGGTTCTGTCGCATCCCCTTCTTCTCCTTCGAAATCACTTGTTTCCATTTCCCCGGGTTGTCCTTCATAGATGAAAAAAGGTTGTCAACTAATATAGTATGTGCAAAAATAGGAAGAATTACGCCTTCTCTTTTCGAAAACACTTTACTAATACAGAAACCGAATAGAAATGAAAAAAAAGAAAAGATTTATTATGCATTACTCACCGTCACTACGTTCGTTTCCCTCTTCATCAAGCTGCAAATCATCTGGAAGATCAAGGTTAGCAGACTCCTCCTCCATATCGTGCATTGCTTGTTGTTCTTGCTGCCCCGTTCCTTCCTCGTCTCGCTCCGCCTCATCACTCATATTCCCCTCTTCATCGTCTTGAGCGTTATTAGATGTGTCGTTTTCTTGCTCGTCTTTAGTATTGGGGTCCTGATCAGCCTTCTCTTTACTCTCATCTGTAGATCCTGTTCATGAAACGATGACGACTCCGACTTTACTAAGGTTTTTTCTCCAAATGTTGGTCAATTTTACGATATGATTGACTTTAAGTTTCCATTATACTCCGACAGACGTAAATTCAGGTTTGTCAAAGCCGAAAATAGAGATACAGAAAATCAAACAAGTTGCAGAAGACAAAAGAATGGAGACATTGGAATCTAACTGCCCTTCTTGAGATACTGAAGGGATGATAACACGACCTCCCTTTGAGGTTAAACGGCTTACCTTTGTTGTCTTCCTTGGCGACCAACTGTGACTGCGATTCAGCCTCAGCTCCAGTTCCTTTTTCTTCCTTTGTTTCTTTTTCCTGTCAATAACGCACCGTATTACCATGGCAACAATACTCTGTACTTATTTATAATGGTAATTGAACTGAGTGGAGTGTAATTAAGACTGAAATCATACGCGTGATTTTGAAATCACAAGTATGATTGATCAGCACAAGCCTACTATATCTTATCAAACAACTAAATATTTTTCTTACTTTAAATAACTACTATGCCTAAGTTGGCAAGATAGAAAACAGCCCTAGAGCAACTCAATGATTAACAAGTAACTAATCCAACGAAATGGCTTTGCTCTTCAAATAAAAGAAAAAAATGTCTCCTCGTGAATTATTCCGCTTTTATCAAAGTATCACTGATCAGTGCTTCTACAACGTTACCTCTTGTTCTTCCTCATCATCTGAATCTCCCCACATTTTTTCATCCAGTTTTTCAGTTTCCTGTCCATCCACTTCTCCCATCTGTTTATCCACATCAGGCTCCTCTTCGTTTTCCTCATCGCTTTTCTCACTTTCCTCGTTGTCTCCTGCTTCCACGTCATGTAAGGCACCATCAAAGTTCTCACTCATCTCAATACCGTTTTCCTCGTCAGGAATTTGCTGCTGTTGTTCTTCTTTCTTATCCTGTTCTTGTCCTTCTTGTTTGGCATCTTCGAGCTAATGAACAACAATATAAATGCCTTATCAATCGCATCATTAAGACAAAGACTAGAAATCAAACAAATAGACCATTTGCACGAAAGCATCAAAATACCAGCGAGGTTTAAACCAACAAAAGCCCTAAATTGCACAAGAAAGCTTGACACTGAGGCATCTTGGTAGCAGCAGTAGTCTTAGTAGAAGGAAAATGACGTCATCATGCAAATAGCCCATTAAGCAAAAGAAAGTCAAACATTCAGAAGACAAAACAAGAGAAGTCAGCACGAGCCTTACAAGATGATCTTCAAAGGAATAAAGGACACAATGGCCTAATAAATAATTCATGAAGAGCCGAAACTAAAAAAATTGTTATCGTCTTGGTTTTTGTAACGTGTGTCCACGATAACTAGAACGTAGGCATCCAACCGAGTTCTATTTCTCCTTTTTTTGCAATCCTTAGGCAACACATTCTTTCACGTAATTACAAAATTGTAGATAAAATGGTACTGAATTTCAATCGTAGTTACTATAGCGAGCTCTTTCTAATAATTTGCGTCTGTTATAGTAAAAGTGTATCGTATGAAACTCTACCTATTTTACGAGACCGTAATTAGTAAAAAAACATATATACATTAAAGTCGGAGACTCTGAAATAAGTTCAGCGAGACAACGGATGGCTGTAATAGCGCGATTCTTATGAATGCAAGAGAAAACAGTAAGAACTAACCTGATCTTCGCTCTCGATTTGATCGCTGACGTCCTTCATCCCCTCTCCTTCCCCGATGCCTCCCCCTTCAACATCCTCGAATTCAGTGGCTCCGTCACCTTCACCTTCTTCTATTTCCGGGGGGAGACAGAATCCTTTTGAGACCAGGTCGGTAAAAATGCTGAGAAGTACCGATAACAGTTTGCTGGTGACGCGGTGGGCTGCTAGCAAATTGACCAGAAAATGCTGCGATATGTTCAGATATTGATGAAGAAGAGGGATGGTGGCTCCAAGAAGCTGTGCACACAAGCTGATGGATGGTAGCTGATCAGGTGCATTTGAAGCCAACCCAGTGCAATCAGCCATGTTTTTCAGCTGAGACATGAGACCGGATATACTTTTCGTCACTTTTTCTAAACCAAGACAGTTTATCTCATCTAGTAGGTCACGATGGAGACGCATCGTCAAGTGCCCGTCTAGGAGTTCCATACTTCCAACGTCAGCATCTGGCGTGAAAAGAACAACCTCATAAATAGGTGGAATATGATCGTCCTGGTGAGCGTAGTACGCAGTAGGACTGTTGTTGACGATAACTGACCTGTCGACAACCCCTGAGGTAGTTATCTTTAGAGTCAAAGTGAGTTGAAGCACGTCAGTTAAAGGTATTTAACTCTGGATATTGGGCTGATTGGTCAATAAAGCCGCTGTGTTAGGTCGTCTGTCAGTTAAGTCGTGATGTTATTGATTATGAACACCCTTTGTATCATTGGTGTTTCGGTCCGTCTTTTGTCACGGTTTAAGAAGAACAACTTGTTAAAAGGTTTACAGTTTTAACCGCTTTTGTGTAAAAAAAATTGCTACTAATGGATTAAAGAGGAAAGAAACGCGGAATAGCCATGTATCCTATCAGGTTAAGGAGAAGAGAAGGAATTAATAGAGTGTCTGTTACGTCTACCTGAATCTGCAGTTTCTTGTTCTTGCGTACTTTCACTGCTCCTGCTTTCCGCTATTTTTGCCAGCTTTTGAATGCCTAACAGAAGCGATGTGTTCCCGGCGTCTAGCTCTTTCAGAAATGTGTCGACTGTAACCATAACTGGAGGAAAAACGAAACAGTACATTTTGACACTCTTATCCTTTTTCTACAACGAGAAGCAAATGCGTTGATAAATACTTACCTTCCTTGTTAAAACATTCCTCATTACTTCCGTCTCTTCCTCGTTCGGCTAGTGTTTTGAGCCTCCAAGTGTTGAATTCGTTACATTCGCTCCTTATCTCGTTTTTGAGGTCGACAAGCGAGCCACCTAGGCCTTTCTCGATACTACAGCTGGAGAAAAGGCGAAAACATGTTTACAATAACAAAGACAATCGTAAACACCTAAATGCTATTTCTTATTTAACACTATTGAATTTTTACACAGATTCTCTAAACAACACAACTGACTCGATCATACACTTTATAAGACCATACTAATGTCTAACTAGAAATCTTATGAACATTTTTTAAGTCCAATGATAACAATAGCCTCTTGAAACCAGGTTCTTCTACAGCTCACCACTTTGACGCAAATTTCGGTAGCATTTCATCGATCACCTCCGCAATGCCCTCAATCTTGATAAACGCATCTGATACCACTCTAAACTGACGCCTATGACAACAAAAACACAAGACAAATAAAAGAAACAAACAACTGGGTGACTTCGCAAAATCAAGTACTACAGATTGACCATTCACTAAAGCTTGTTAAGGCCCTTCTCATATCGACAATTCTGCGAATGAGGTTAAAAGTATTGTGGCCTCACCATACCAGAATAAAGGTGAAAAGGTCCCGAGAAATAGATTACTCTTTGGGACAGTCTATTGTGTTTTCTTACTTTAAACCTTTGCTTACCAGCATATCAATGAAACCACTCGCGTTGAATTCTTACTTCCGAGTCTTCCTTGTTAGACGCTTTTGGCGCTTTCCATTCAGCCCAGAATACCGGAATATTCCATCAGAAATCAAATGGAACGAACCAGTGCGGTTCGGTCCAAGCTAAATATTTGAGACCACCTTTGAAGGTGGTCTACATTGACCGGTCTGGTCATTTCTGTCGGTTGGTCTGCCAAAATGTGCCTGTCCATTTGACAAAATTGTTTTTCCCACTACCACTCATTTGTATGATCCTGTTTGCAAGTACAATAACAAGAAGCGCAATGGCTTGTGTCGGGTCCGTGCAACCCGAATGTACCGTCCCACTGGGCACATGAAATTCCCGAGATTTCAAACAGCAATTTTTGTCGAATGGAAAGCGCCCTTCCTTCTCGTACCTGAACTGAGTTCGGAATTACAAGGGTTTGGAAGAATGCCGTCGCGCGGTAACGCGCCTCAGAAACCAGCATAATCTAACTAACCTTTGAGAAATGAAACCCTCTGATATTCTTGAAATAAAAAAAAGCAAAAACATAGAACCTACCAACAAGCTATGAAAGTTGTCATCTCATCCCGGCTAATACTGTTCACCATGTGATCAGACACTGCAGCATAAGGCCGGACATGTTGAATAAGCTGTTGCACTTTTGTCACGGAGTCCTTAAATTTAAAAAAGAAATCAAGACAAAACTGATTACCACGTGGAATTTAATTTCTTGGAAAGCCAGAGTCGTTTTTTTGTGAGTCTTCTAAATTTGAGGTAGATAATTGTTTCCTAAGTCCTAAGAGAGTTACTCAACGTTTGACCAGTTAATGCTTGACTAATTCCGCTCGATAAGATACTACACACACACTACACACACACACTATACTTTATTTCATGCACATCATTTTGCCATCTCCACCCGCAAATAGCAAAAGCTAGACGAGGCGGGCGGAGAGGAAAGGTTACAGCAGTCATAACAGATAATATACTAATTGTAAAGTAACTAAATAAACTATGTGGATATACTACATGTCATTCTGTAACTTAACCAAACATCAATCCATCGCTCTGCAATAGAACCTGGTTCAAACAAGCCTTCAAAGCACTTAGATTGTCCGCAAAGAATGGATCGATACAAAGAGCCCTGCAAACTGCTAAAGGAAGGATATACCAACTGGTCGAGCATCTTATCATCTACATTCTAGCTCCTTGATCAAGTATTCCCTTACCTAAGGCTAATAATTAATTAATTAAATTCAAGGAATTACTAACGTTGAAGGGCAGTTCAGTATAGTTGCAAAATTTAATCATTTTATTCTCGTATGGCTGTACTGAACAAAGGTCACCTGATGCACTATTCATAGGAAAATACCAAACGTACCTCTAGAGTCTTAGAGACATCTGTAACAAGGGGATCATCTGAAGATGACAAAGCCAGAGGTGACAGCACGGTCTTCGGCAAAGGTGTCCACTCCTGAAGGGACACATCACTGGGACAACACTTTATCAGTAAGGACATATGCTGTAACACATGGGATGTGTGGGTTAAAAGACTCATCATTCGCACCTACGAAATGAAAAAAGGTTCCAATATTGTGCTCATCAACACATCAGAACTCAATTTCTGAAAAAAAGAGATAGACTGGACACCGGAGGAGGATTGAGAAACTGAAGTCTCGAGCTGTCGCCCTTCGTCAATGATTTACTCTAACGAAGGGCTTAAGCGCACGAAACACCAGTTCCTAAATTTTCTACGGTGGCAAGTGATTCATTTTATAAAAGCAAATTCTTGTGTCAGAAGAAAAACCGCCGCCTTGTTAGCTCAGTTGGGAGAGCGCCGCTCTGCCGAGCGGGAGGTCGCCGATTCAAACCCCGGCCGGACCAACACTCAAGGTCTTTAAATAACTGAGAAGAAACTGCTGCCTTTGTAGTGACATCTGCAAATGGTTAGACTTTCTAGTCTTCTCGGATAAGGACGAAAAACAGTAGGTCCCGTCTCACAGCACTTTCACTTTCTTGTGGGATGTAAAAGAACCCACATCACTATTCGAAAAGAGTAGGGGTTGTAGACCCCAATGGTGTTGCCAACCTTTACGGGCTGTGGGATTGGGTAGGGATGGCACCTCGCATGGCACCAGAGTCCCGTTCGTGCACATTCCCTCTGGGCAGGCCTGTGTCCAGAAAAGCTGGTAAATGAATAAGTTGTTAAGGAGCACAAGTTTAGAAGGAAAAGAAACCTCAGCAAATAAACAGTTGTTCGTTGTTGACTTACTGTTCGTTCTTGTAGCTTAGTTTGAGGAGGTAGAGATGTACGTGTATTGTCCATATCATCATCTGCCACGCCAACGCTTTCCACAAGCTGATTAAGACAAACGCTAAAAAGCAAATAGATGAAAATAGATATCTACAATGCGTGACATCAGAACTTGGGTCAATGGAAATACTAACGTTGTTAGTCGAGGTTGTGAACAATTACCTTGCACTGGTGATGTGTTGTGAGAACTGTGCTATGAACTTTCTCTGTTGATAACAAATATTGAGCAGGTGATGACTGCAACCCTTACAACGATCAATGTCACCAACACTGAGCTCCTAAATGTAATGAAGAAACAACACAATTATTACCTATACACAGTGGCTGTTTCAAGGCTACTTGACTAATCCACGACACGCTGAAAGGTTCAGAATATTTTCTAATTCCAGAAAAGTAATAGAGTATACTGACAAATATATACAACGAACTAACAATTGATGAAAGACTTGACCAGCTTGCTACCTCAATAGGATAGCCATGGATTTGTATGTAAACGTGTTACAAGTCCACACGAAGGACCTAGGACATAGGGTTATTGGTTATTCCCAATTCCAAACGATAAAGGAAAGAAAATAGATTTACTGTTTTCTCACCTTTGAAGGCGTTACTATGGCAGCAGAGAAGGCCGCTGACCTAGCTAGTGCCTTATGGTAGTGATGACAGCAGCCATCCAAAAGATTACGTACTTCATGTAACAAGTCACTGAAAATAACCAACAACAACAAATTACACTTCAATCACACTACGNCCTTGCACTGGTGATGTGTTGTGAGAACTGTGCTATGAACTTTCTCTGTTGATAACAAATATTGAGCAGGTGATGACTGCAACCCTTACAACGATCAATGTCACCAACACTGAGCTCCTAAATGTAATGAAGAAACAACACAATTATTACCTATACACAGTGGCTGTTTCAAGGCTACTTGACTAATCCACGACACGCTGAAAGGTTCAGAATATTTTCTAATTCCAGAAAAGTAATAGAGTATACTGACAAATATATACAACGAACTAACAATTGATGAAAGACTTGACCAGCTTGCTACCTCAATAGGATAGCCATGGATTTGTATGTAAACGTGTTACAAGTCCACACGAAGGACCTAGGACATAGGGTTATTGGTTATTCCCAATTCCAAACGATAAAGGAAAGAAAATAGATTTACTGTTTTCTCACCTTTGAAGGCGTTACTATGGCAGCAGAGAAGGCCGCTGACCTAGCTAGTGCCTTATGGTAGTGATGACAGCAGCCATCCAAAAGATTACGTACTTCATGTAACAAGTCACTGAAAATAACCAACAACAACAAATTACACTTCAATCACACTACGATTGTGGTTCTACGATTTTGGCATTTCTGAACTTCAATTACATTGGTATCATTTAAAAACACTGGACGAAAGAAGAAGTTGTCAAAGATAACAACGACCTTTGAATTCTCCTGATATTTAAGATAGTCTCCTAATATTGAAGATAGTCGAGCACGCAATTTTTGTCATGAATAAAGACAATTTAGACAAAGGCGATTTGAACAAATGAAAATAATTTTGACTTGAAATTCTATTATATTTCAATTTAAAAACTAACACTGTGAAAACTAATAAAGGGCTTAGTCAGGTATTTCACAACTTGCATAAATCGATGTTGTGTGAGTACTGGGAGTGCTTACGGTGATCTATCTGAGAGCAGCGTAAATGATCTGGTGATAGCTTCTTCATCAACCGCAGTGAGCAACATGGCTTCCTTCCCTGTGCACTGGCGTTCAAGAGTTAGTCCCTTACGGTATGACAACCCTAGGAAATAATCCATTGTTAATCATATACAAAGTAGAACCTAGCCTGACAAAACAGCCGACATTTCGCTACGCCACCACTGGTTTCGTAGCGAAATGACGTCTGAGAACGATCATAGAAATTCCATACTGATGACGCGTTCTGATTACTCGTACCGCGTGGGAAATTTGCTTCAACCAATCAGAAGTACTACCCACATCTAGGTAGTGATGCGTCATCAGTATGGAATTTCTGCGCTCGTTTCTCAGACGTATTTGTATAGGTAATAGCATGATTTGTAGAGATATTTGGCACAGATACCATGAGTGATATTTCGAAATTGTCATACGTAACTTCACGAGCCGTTAGGCGAGTGAAATTTGAGACAATTTTGAAATATCACGAGTGGTATTTACGCCAAATATCATGACAAATCATACTATTATTTGTTTATACTACTACCCGCAAAATGTAGGTATTTCAAATTAAGCTGAAATACCACTGCTCTAAGCCAATCAAATTGCAGTAATTTTTCATGTAGTAGTATAACGCGGGGAAGCCAGTGTTGGCGTCGCAAAAATGTCTGCTGTTTTCTCAGGCTGAGTAGAAGCGTGCGACATACCAAGTTTCGGTCTGATTGTAAGGCATTCAATAAATAAATACCCTTATAATTTTGCTCCTTTCATTTAGTTGCAAGGTTCACGTTGCGGAATTTAACTGGACAAAGAACTATTAGCACTGGAAGTTGTAATTTGCTTAGACTTACGCAGTGTTCTGAGATGACTATGGATAAATCAGTAAAAGACAAAATTCATCATCGTCTAACTCATTTGACGTTGTAAGCATCAAAACATTCCCCCGGGAGAATGCTGTCCACGATTAACTTTTCACTACAAAACCGTCAAACCTTCCAACAGGACAGCTTAAGTTACAGACACTTCAGTAATATCTGTACCGGGTTTAATTAAAATGCTTCGGAAAGGAGCGCCTCATAGCTATATCACTTTAAATTTAGCCCTTACACGAAAATGACAAGAAGACTTCCTGTTTTAGCGATTTATTCTTAATATATAGGTTTAGCCACAGCTAAAAGCGAAGCTCCCATTAATAAATTTATAACTTAAATCAAACAATAATTTTGTATTCCTCAAATCAGTTAACTTAAAGGGACAGTG